TTACTTAGGGACAGACAGAAATTGTTACTTAGGGCCACAGAAACGTTACTTAGGGCCACAGAAACGTTACTTAGGGACACAGAATTGTTACTCAGGGACAGACACAGAATTGTTACTGAGGGACACAGATTGTTACTGAGGGCCACAGAACGTTACTTAGGGCCAACGTTACTTAGGGACACAGAATTGTTACTTAGGGACACAGAATTGTTACTCAGGGACACAGAATTGTTACTGAGACAGACACAGAATTGTTACTGAGGGACACAGAATTGTTACTAGGGAGGGACACAGAATTGTTACTCAGGGACACAGAATGTTACTTAGGGCCACAGAATTGTTACTTAGGACACAGAATTGTTACTTAGGGGACACAGAATTGTTACTCAGAGGGACACAGAATTGTTACTGAGGGACACAGAATTGTTACTGAGGGACACAGAGGGCCACAGAATTGTTACTTAGGGGACACAGAATTGTTACTGAGGGACACAGAATTGTTACTCAGGGACAGACACAGAATTGTTACTCAGGGACAGACACAGAATTGTTACTGAGGGACAGACACAGAATTGTTACTGAGGGACACAGAATTGTTACTCAGGGACACAGAATTGTTACTGAGGGACACAGAATTGTTACTGAGGGACACAGAATTGTTACTCAGGGACAGACAGAATTGTTACTCAGGGACACACATTGAGGGACAGACACAGAATTGTTACTGAGGGACACAGAATTGTTACTGAGGGACACAGAATTGTTACTGAGGGACACAGTTAATTGAATTTACTCAGGGGACACAGAATTGTTACTCAGGGGGACACAGAATTGTTACTCAGGGACAGACACAGAATTGTTACTGAGGGGACACAGAAATTGTTACTGACTGAGGGACACAGAATTGTTACTCAGGGACACAGAATTGTTACTGAGGGACACAGAATTGTTACTGAGGGGGACAGGGACACAATTGTTACTCAGGGACACAGAATTGTTACTCAGGGACACACAGAATTGTTACTCAGGGACACAGAATCGTTGAATTAAAGAGTATGTCAGACAACATGCAGAGGAGTGGCAGAGGAGGCAATGTTTTAGGAGCGAGCAGAGCAGACGTGGCAGCAGAGGAAGGGGTCGAGGGCAGCACTATTCGCAGCCAGAGGCCAGTGCTCCCGGTGTCATCCAGCGGTCGTGTCTCCACCGACAACCCTGCCGTCATCGATTGGTTGGCTCGGTCGTCTTCCTCTTTCCCAGGTCACCTCTGACACCTACAGCCAACGGTCGGTGGGTACGTCAGACACACAACCGTTAGTTGGCATGGCCCGGGAGCAAGCCCACTGAAATCACGTGTCCTCTACCTGCCCCTGTCCTTTGGTGTTCCCTCACCAAGCGAAGTATCGCATGCTGTGGGCTCAGCCCCACTGTACAGTGAGGAAGAGCTAACAGAGGGCGGTCAGGAACGGGGGGAGACATCCGCCTCTTCAGCAGCCAGGCGAAGAAGTAGTAGTGGCGAGCGAGGAGAGTGGCTCGGTAGCCGGTCTAGAGACAGGTCTGTCTCCTGACCCACACGCAGCCGAGGGGGCTAGTAGTGAGGCGGAGACCCTAATTGATGATGATGAGGGCTGATCGCACTTGGCAGCCTCGTCGTCATCAGGCTATTGCTTCCGCATCATCAGGAGAAGGAGGGGGTGGCAGCTTGGCAGCGAGCAAAACAGTCGGTGGGTTGCCCAGGAGGCAGCAGGGTCGCAGCAGTGTCAGTGGAGGCAAAACGGCCACGGAGTACAGCACCAGCTCCACTGCAGCCTACCACCACGGCCAGTAGTGGTGCCGGTGTGCACGGAGGGAGGAAGCAGCAGTCAGCCAGTGAGGAGTATCGGGGGCAAAGTTTCCTACTCGGCGTGTGTGGCAATTTTTTGTCAAGCGCGCCCGAGGAAGTAAACGTAGCCGTATGTCGACTATGTGGCCAGAAAGTCAAGCGTGGCCAGGGGGCCCATGTTGGGACTACAGCGTTGCGGCAGCATATGCAGCGTCGCCATTTGGTGGCCTGGGAAAACCGTGATAAAGATATACGGCGGTTCTGCCCCGCCCCCAGCCCCCGCTCCATCACCCGCTCCGTTACTTGCTCCGTCACCCGACGTCAATCGCCCTCTATCAGCCAGTCAAGGCTCCAACCCTCTGCTGAGGGGAGTTGTCGCTCGTTGGCATCTTCCGCTCGTTCAGATGCTCCTTCTCCTGCTACTCCTCTTCACGGATTCCGTCAGCAGTCTTTCTTGGAATCCGTTTCCAAGAGACAAACAGTTTGCGAGCACGCACCCGACGGTGCAAAAGCTGAACGTCCTCCTGTCCAAGTTGCTGGTGCTGCAGTCCTCCCCCTTTCCAAGTGGTGGACTCAGCACCTTTCCGAGAAATGATGGCTTGTGCCGCGCCGCGGTGGAGAGTGCCAAGCCGTCATTTCTTCGCCAAAAAAAAGGCAGTGCCAGCCCTGCATTCACATGTAGAAGAGATGGTGGGCCAGTCTTTGAGCATGTCGGTCTCTGCCAAAGTGCACGGCAGCGCCGACGTGTGGAGCTGTAACTACGGTCAGGGACAGTACATGTCATTTACGGCCCACTGGGTGAACGTGGTGCCGTCACAGCCGCACCAGCAACTTGGACAGGTCACGCCTTTTGCCTCCACGTTTGCACGTCCTTGGTCCGGCAAAGATGTCCGCCTCTACCACCTCTTCTTCCGCCGTGTCCTCAGCCGCCACCCCCGTGCCAAGTCCCATTACCCGACCGGCATATCACATGTGCAGGGCGCAACGGTGTCACGCTGTGCTGCACCTGGTATGCCTTGGCGAACGTAGTCACACAGGGGAGGAACTTCTGAGTGTAATGAACAGAGAAATCGACAGATGGCTGTCTCCGCGCAAACTGAAAATCGGAACCATGTTGACCGACAACGGAAAGAACATGGTGTCTGCTCTGCGTCAAGGAAGGTTGTGCCATGCGCCATGCATGGCTCACGTGTTCAATCTGGTTGTCAAGCGGTTCCTAAAATCCACCATCCCACTGCAAGACATCCTTAAAATGTCACGTAAACTTTGCATGCATTTCAGCCATTCCTACACCGCAAAGCACACCCTCCTTGAGCTGCAGCGGCAGAACGGAATTCCACAGCATCGCCTGATCTGCGACGTTGCAACAAGGTGGAATTCAACCCTACACATGTTAGACCGCCTTTACGAACAGCGAAAGGCCATCACCGATTTCCTGATGTTACAAGCGGATAAAGGTACTCCCCTGTGTAACTTCGATGTCAGCCATTGGCAGCTCATGCGTGACACCTGCCGCTTGCTCAGGCCCTTTGAGGAGGCCACGCTATTCGTGAGTCGGCAGGACTATGGGGGATGAACGACGTCATTCCTCTGTTGCACGTCCTGGAACAAATGCTGTTAACAATGGCTGGTCAGGGTGCGGTAGACGTGGCGCACAGATCTCAACGCCACATGACCCCTGTGGGGGCAGGACAGGAAGAAGAGGAGGAGGTAGAGGAGGACATTTGTGCTCAGGAATTATTGAGTGAAATGGGTGGTTTTTCCACTCAGCGGACAGGAGTGGAGGAGCAGGAGCATCTGGTAGAGGAGGAGGAGGAGGACAGAGGACCCAGACGCACCGTGGCAGTATGCTGTGGAGATGGAGGCAGGGAGTCCCTCGCATTCCTTGGCACAAATGGCCCATAGCATGCTCGGTTGCTTGCGTAGCGACAGCCGAATAATAACCATCAGACAGAGGGATGACTTTTGGCTGTCCACCTTGTTGGACCCTCGCTACCGTTCAAAAATGGTGGCCTTTTTCACACCTGCTGAGAGGGAGGCCAAAATAACGTACTATAAAAACCACCTATGTAGTCAGTTGGTCTCTGCCTTTTGTGCGCCAACGTCCATCCTCAGACACTGTGGGCCCTGTGCGCTCGCGTTCCGCTGCCATGGCAGCAGGGGAGGGGGGGGTGGTAGGAGCAGTGGCAGCTCCACCAGCAGCGGCTGCCTCAGTCTGCAGTCGATGATGAGTAGCTTTCTTCACCAGCGCAGTGAGGAAACTACTAACCAGCCGCAGCAGCAGCAGCAGCAGCATCAGGTGGACCTGGAGCAGGGACCTCAAACAACAGGCTTGGGCCTACTTGGACAGCACCCTGCCAACCGAGGTAGACAATCCCCTTGACTACTGGGCAACGAAACTTGACCTTTGGCCCCAACTAGCTGAATTTGCCCTTGAAAGGCTGTCATGCCCGGCCAGTAGCGTGGCATCGGAGCGCGTGTTTAGTGCGGCAGGAGGTATTGTAACTCCGCGGAGGACACGACTGTCCACCCAAAGTGTGTGGAGAGAGACTCACGTTTGTGAAAATGAATCAGGCGTGGATTAGTCTGGATTTCAAACCACCAGTTCCTGACACAACTGACTAAATCCGCCATGAATCATGCCCCAAACATGTGCCACTTTCAGGTCTCCTCACACTGCTGGTGTGTTCCATTTTTTTGTCATAGGGTGCTGGCAGATTACGGGCCTCCCATAGCTGCTGCCAGGCCCCTAATCTGCCATGGGCCCCTGTACCGCCTCCTCATGCTGCTGCCAGGTCCAGAGTCTCTCATGGGTCCCTGTACGGCCTCCCATTGCTGCTGTCTCCATCGCCACACTCTGCCATGTGCCACTTTCAGGTCTCCTCACACACTGCTGGTGTGTTCCATTTTTTGTCATAGGGTGCTGGCAGATTACGGGCCTCCCATAGCTGCTGCCAGGCCCTAATCTGCCATGGGCCCCTGTACCGCCTCCTCATGCTGCTGCCAGGTCCAGAGTCTCTCATGGGTCCCTGTACGGCCTCCCATTGCTGCTGTCTCCATCGCCACACTCTGCCATGTGCCACTTTCAGGTCTCCTCACACTGCTGGTGTGTTCATTTTTTGTCATAGGGTGCTGGCAGATTACGGGCCTCCCATAGCTGCTGCCAGGCCCCTAATCTGCCATGGGCCCCTGTACCGCCTCCTCATGCTGCTGCCAGGTCCAGAGTCTCTCATGGGTCCCTGTACGGCCTCCCATTGCTGCTGTCTCCATCGCCACACTCTGCCATGTGCCACTTTCAGGTCTCCTCACACTGCTGGTGTGTTCAATTTTTTGTCATAGGGTGCTGGCAGATTACGGGCCTCCCATAGCTGCTGCCAGGCCCCTAATCTGCCATGGGCCCCTGTACCGCCTCCTCATGCTGCTGCCAGGTCCAGAGTCAGTCTCATGGGTCCCTGTACGGCCTCCCATTGCTGCTGTCTCCATCGCCACACTCTGCCATGTGCCACTTTCAGGTCTCCTCTCACACTGCTGGTGTGTTCCATTTTTTCATAGGGTGCTGGCAGATTACGGGCCTCCCATAGCTGCTGCCAGGCCCCTAATCTGCCATGGGCCCCTGTACCGCCTCCTCATGCTGCTGCCAGGTCCAGAGTCTCTCATGGGTCCCTGTACGGCCTCCCATTGCTGCTGTCTCCATCGCCACACTCTGCCATGTGCCACTTTCAGGTCTCCTCACACACTGCTGGTGTGTTCATTTTTTGTCATAGGGTGCTGGCAGATTACGGGCCTCCCATAGCTGCTGCCAGGCCCCTAATCTGCCATGGGCCCCTGTACCGCCTCCTCATGCTGCTGCCAGGTCCAGAGTCTCTCATGGGTCCCTGTACGGCCCTCCCATTGCTGCTGTCTCCATCGCCACACTCTGCCATGTGCCACTTTCAGGTCTCCTCACACTGCTGGTGTGTTCCATTTTTTGACATAGGGTGCTGGCAGATTACGGGCCTCCCATAGCTGCTGCCAGGCCCCTAATCTGCCATGGGCCCCTGTACCGCCTCCTCATGCTGCTGCCAGGTCCAGAGTCTCTCATGGGTCCCTGTACGGCCTCCCATTTGCTGCTGTCTCCATCGCCACACTCTGCCATGTGCCACTTTCAGGTCTCCTCACACACTGCTGGTGTGTTCAATTTTTTGTCATAGGGTGCTGGCAGATTACGGGCCTCCCATAGCTGCTGCCAGGCCCTAATCTGCCATGGGCCCGTACCGCCTCCTCATGCTGCTGCCAGGTCCAGAGTCTCTCATGGGTCCCTGTACGGCCTCCCATTGCTGCTGTCTCCATCGCCACACTCTGCCATGTGCCACTTTCAGGTCTCCTCACACACTGCTGGTGTGTTCATTTTTTCATAGGGTGCTGGCAGATTACGGGCCTCCCATAGCTGCTGCCAGGCCCCTAATCTGCCATGGGCCCCTGTACCGCCTCCTCATGCTGCTGCCAGGTCCAGAGTCTCTCATGGGTCCCTGTACGGCCTCCCATTGCTGCTGTCTCCATCGCCACACTCTGCCATGTGCCACTTTCAGGTCTCCTCACACACTGCTGGTGTGTTCCATTTTTTGACATAGGGTGCTGGCAGATTACGGGCCTCCCATAGCTGCTGCCAGGCCCCTAATCTGCCATGGGCCCCTGTACCGCCTCCTCATGCTGCTGCCAGGTCCACAGTGTCTCATGGGTCCCTGTACGGCCTCCCATTGCTGCTGTCTCTCCATCGCCACACTCTGCCATGTGCCACTTTCAGGTCTCCTCACACACTGCTGGTGTGTTCAATTTTTTGTCATAGGGTGCTGGCAGATTACGGGCCTCCCATAGCTGCTGCCAGGCCCCTAATCTGCCATGGGCCCCTGTACCGCCTCCTCATGCTGCTGCCAGGTCCAGAGTCTCTCATGGGTCCCTGTACGGCCTCCCATTGCTGCTGTCTCCATCGCCACACTCTGCCATGTGCCACTTTCAGGTCTCCTCACACTGCTGGTGTGTTCAATTTTTTGTCATAGGGTGCTGGCAGATTACGGGCCTCCCATAGCTGCTGCCAGGCCCCTAATCTGCCATGGGCCCCTGTACCGCCTCCTCATGCTGCTGCCAGGTCCAGAGTCTCTCATGGGTCCCTGTACGGCCTCCCATTGCTGCTGTCTCCATCGCCACACTCTGCCATGTGCCACTTTCAGGTCTCCTCACACACTGCTGGTGTGTTCATTTTTTGACATAGGGTGCTGGCAGATTACGGGCCTCCCATAGCTGCTGCCAGGCCCCTAATCTGCCATGGGCCCCTGTATATACCGCCTCCTCATGCTGCTGCCAGGTCCAGAGTGTCTCTCATGGGTCCCTGTACGGCCTCCCATTGCTGCTGTCTCCATCGCCACACTCTGCCATGTGCCACTTTCAGGTCTCCTCACACACTGCTGTGTGTGTTCATTTTTTGACATAGGGTGCTGGCAGATTACGGGCCTCCCATAGCTGCTGCCAGGCCCCTAATCTGCCATGGGCCCCTGTACCGCCTCCTCATGCTGCTGCCAGGTCCAGAGTCTCTCATGGGTCCCTGTACGGCCTCCCATTGCTGCTGTCTCCATCGCCACACTCTGCCATGTGCCACTTTCAGGTCTCTCACACACTGCTGGTGTGTGTTCAATTTTTTGACATAGGGTGCTGGCAGATTACGGGCCTCCCATAGCTGCTGCCAGGCCCTAATCTGCCATGGGCCCCTGTACCGCCTCCTCATGCTGCTGCCAGGTCCAGAGTCTCTCATGGGTCCCTGTACGGCCTCCCATTGCTGCTGTCTCCATCGCCACACTCTGCCATGTGCCACTTTCAGGTCTCCTCACACACTGCTGGTGTGTTCATTTTTTGACATAGGGTGCTGGCAGATTACGGGCCTCCCATAGCTGCTGCCAGGCCCCTAATCTGCCATGGGCCCCTATACCGCCTCCTCATGCTGCTGCCAGGTCCAGAGTCTCTCATGGGTCCCTGTACGGCCTCCCATTGCTGCTGTCTCCATCGCCACACTCTGCCATGTGCCACTTTCAGGTCTCCTCACACTGCTGGTGTGTTCATTTTTTTGTCATAGGGTGCTGGCAGATTACGGGCCTCCCATAGCTGCTGCCAGGCCCTAATCTGCCATGGGCCCCTGTACCGCCTCCTCATGCTGCTGCCAGGTCCAGAGTCTCTCATGGTCCCTGTACGGCCTCCCATTGCTGCTGTCTCCATCGCCACACTCTGCCATGTGCCACTTTCAGGTCTCCTCACACACTGCTGGTGTGTTCCAATTTTTTGACATAGGGTGCTGGCAGATTACGGGCCTCCCATAGCTGCTGCCAGGCCCCTAATCTGCCATGGGCCCCTGTACCGCCTCCTCATGCTGCTGCCAGGTCCAGAGTCTCTCATGGGTCCCTGTACGGCCTCCCATTGCTGCTGTCTCCATCGCCACACTCTGCCATGTGCCACTTTCAGGTCTCCTCACACACTGCTGGTGTGTTCAATTTTTTGACATAGGGTGCTGGCAGATTACGGGCCTCCCATAGCTGCTGCCAGGCCCCTAATCTGCCATGGGCCCCTGTACCGCCTCCTCATGCTGCTGCCAGGTCCAGAGTCTCTCATGGGTCCCTGTACGGCCTCCCATTGCTGCTGTCTCCATCGCCACACACTCTGCCATGTGCCACTTTCAGGTCTCCTCACACACTGCTGGTGTGTTCAATTTTTTGACATAGGGTGCTGGCAGATTACGGGCCTCCCATAGCTGCTGCCAGGCCCCTAATCTGCCATGGGCCCCTGTACCGCCTCCTCATGCTGCTGCCAGGTCCACAGTCTCTCATGGGTCCCTGTACGGCCTCCCATTGCTGCTGTCTCCATCGCCACACACTCTGCCATGTGCCACTTTCAGGTCTCCTCACACACTGCTGGTGTGTTCCATTTTTTGTCATAGGGTGCTGGCAGATTACGGGCCTCCCATAGCTGCTGCCAGGCCCCTAATTGCCATGGGCCCCTGTACCGCCTCCTCATGCTGCTGCCAGGTCCAGAGTCTCTCATGGGTCCCTGTACGGCCTCCCATTTGCTGCTGTCTCCATCGCCACACTCTGCCATGTGCCACTTTCAGGTCTCCTCACACACTGCTGGTGTGTTCATTTTTTTGACATAGGGTGCTGGCAGATTACGGGCCTCCCATAGCTGCTGCCAGGCCCCTAATCTGCCATGGGCCCCTGTACCGCCTCCTCATGCTGCTGCCAGGTCCAGAGTCTCTCATGGGTCCCTGTACGGCCTCCCATTGCTGCTGTCTCCATCGCCACACTCTGCCATGTGCCACTTTCAGGTCTCCTCACACACTGCTGGTGTGTTCAATTTTTTGTCATAGGGTGCTGGCAGATTACGGGCCTCCCATAGCTGCTGCCAGGGCCCCTAATCTGCCATGGGCCCCTGTACCGCCTCCTCATGCTGCTGCCAGGTCCAGAGTCTCTCATGGGTCCCTGTACGGCCTCCCATTGCTGCTGTCTCCATCGCCACACTCTGCCATGTGCCACTTTCAGGTCTCCTCACACACTGCTGGTGTGTTCAATTTTTTGTCATAGGGTGCTGGCAGATTACGGGCCTCCCATAGCTGCTGCCAGGCCCCTAATCTGCCATGGGCCCCTGTACCGCCTCCTCATGCTGCTGCCAGGTCCAGAGTCTCTCATGGGTCCCTGTACGGCCTCCCATTGCTGCTGTCTCCATCGCCACACTCTGCCATGTGCCACTTTCAGGTCTCCTCACACACTGCTGGTGTGTTCAATTTTTTGACATAGGGTGCTGGCAGATTACGGCCTCCCATAGCTGCTGCCAGGCCCCTAATCTGCCATGGGCCCCTGTACCGCCTCCTCATGCTGCTGCCAGGTCCACAGTCTCTCATGGGTCCCTGTACGGCCTCCCATTGCTGCTGTCTCCATCGCCACACTCTGCCATGTGCCACTTTCAGGTCTCCTCACACTGCTGGTGTGTTCCATTTTTTGTCATAGGGTGCTGGCAGATTACGGGCCTCCCATAGCTGCTGCCAGGCCCCTAATCTGCCATGGGCCCCTGTACCGCCTCCTCATGCTGCTGCCAGGTCCAGAGTCTCTCATGGGTCCCTGTACGGCCTCCCATTGCTGCTGTCTCCATCGCCACACTCTGCCATTTGCACTTTCAGGTCTCCTCACACACTGCTGGTGTGTTCAATTTTTTGACATAGGGTGCTGGCAGATTACGGGCCTCCCATAGCTGCTGCCAGGCCCCTAATCTGCCATGGGCCCCTGTACCGCCTCCTCATGCTGCTGCCAGGTCCACAGTGTCTCATGGGTCCCTGTACGGCCTCCCATTGCTGCTGTCTCCATCGCCACACTCTGCCATGTGCCACTTTCAGGTCTCCTCACACTGTTGGTGGGTTCCATTTTGTCATAGGGTGCTGTATGGCCTCCCATTGCTGCTGCCTCCACCACCCACACTGTGGCTCCACACTCTGGTTTTGGCCCCGTGACTGCCCAAATGAGTGAAGTGTGCGGTGATTCTAAGATCGATGGCACTCATCTGCATGTCATACTGACTGACAGTATTATTTCTCTTCCCCAGCAGACTCCAAGGGCATTTAAATTAAAGGTACAGTGTTCTGAACTAATATAAAGGCTCTCTGAAGCCTAGAAACACCCTTTTATAAGTTAAATTCGCAGCGAATATATTCGCATCGAATCAAAATTTTTTCACGAATTCGCCGAATCAGTCGAATCGAATTTTTGAATACTTTGCTCATCTCTATTTATGATGTCTGATTCCATGTTTTTTCAGCTGCCTCCCTAGCCATGGGGCTGGTTGGGTTTGAACTTGGATACTGGGGCTTTCTTTTCGGCACCTGGCACGCTGGGCCTGCGCCACGGATTCTTCAAAGCCCATTGAGTGCAGCAATGCGTGGCCGCCATGGTTGGGGGTTCTGGCTTCTCTTGCCACTCCCCCTTCCTTTGATGGCTTTGTCTGTCTTCTCAGCATGTCGGCGGTGCGCCGGTGCATGACGTCGTGATCTTACCCCAGCATGGACCAGTTGAATGATGTCAAACAACAGCAGACATCAGGACAAGCTTTGGCTGTACTTCCCCTTTAACATGAGGAAACAAAGCCCTGCCTTTACCAAGATGGCCACCTTTGTATAGTGCAAAATGAGGCATGGTAAATCACTTATAAGGATGAACAGAACTGCCCTGGGTTCAGTTCGAGCAGGGATCAACAAACTTCAAAGAAGTTTGGATGCCAAATGGGAGCTGAATCTGTCAAATTAAAAATGCCTATTTTCTGGGCTAATAGGCAAGGAGGTGTTAAAAAATAGCATGGGGAGGTGTCCACTGCTTTGGGGGACTGTACTGTACCTAATTACACAGGTTCTGTGGCTTATTAAGATGGCAATTAAACTCACTTAGTGCCTTTTCTGCATCAAATTAGCCCTCAGAACCTCTGTAATTAATATGTGTTTGGCTTAAAAAAAAATTATATTCCATTCGGCCACGAGCAATGATTTTTTAAATGCTTAACGTGAAACATTAAAAATGTCCAATTCTTTTAAATAACATGCCTGGGGGTGCCCTTATTCTGCCTGTGATGTTGCTTATCATTGTGATGTACAGAAAGTGCAGCAGCAGCACTGACATTTACAAAGTTAACAATTGTTGACATGACATGACATATTATTGACAGCTTCTTTTTTAAAAAGTCAAAACAGCACACAGACCCCTCCAAGGGTCTGCTATGTATTTTGGGAACCTTTGACAGGATCTCTTTGCTGTTTTTTTTTTTTAAAGTCTTAAATTGTAAACTCCAAGGAGCAGGGCCCTCCTAACCCTCTTGTATTGATCTGTATTGTTGCTGTATTGTCTCCCTTTATATTGTAAAGCGCTGAGCAAACTGTTGGCGCTATATAAATCCTATAATAGTATAATAATACGTTGGCAATAAATATCGCTTGCCGGCAACTTAAATGTTATCATTTTTTTTTCAGAATAAAATTTATTTAAGTAGAGCAGAGCATACACAGCAAAAACACAAAGAGCATGTATCCAGTTACAAGAGTGCTGGCGCACTCAGGCGCATGTCGTAGCAAAACATGTTGTTAAGTACAATAACGATCATGCCCCACAGGGCGAAGTAGCAAAGAATAAAAACAAACAATAAGGAATTAAGTTTTATGAAAACATAGATCATAAGCGTAACAAGCAGCAAAGAAATGAGGTTCTTATTTAACTAAGGCCTTGCAGAGGGCAAACCGCGAGGCTGGTCTAAAAGTGTACTTGCAGGCCTGTTGACTCTGGCCCTAGAGTGTTACCGTTTTTATCTGCAAAGGATGGGAATGTGGGCTAAACAAGCCTCAAGAGAAGAGAAACACAGCACCTCTGAGTGTAGACTGTAAGATATTTCATGGTGAACACAAATAAAACCACTCACATGTAGGAGGTAATAAGGTAGGCTAAAATGAGACACAACGCCATATTTGTTATAGAAAAGGATGGCCAGCTGGACAGCAGGGAGCGCTGGAGAGGTCTCAGGATGGAGCCTGTAGTGCAAGCCTGGCAAGTCTATGTGAACTCCAGCTGGACAGCAGGATGCGCTGGAGCGATGTCAGCTGAAGCCTGAAGATGAAAGCATGGCAGATTCCTGTGTGCTCGAGAGCAGCGGCGATGTGACATCATAGACATACAACGTGTTTCTCAGCACGCGTGGGTTCCGAGGACCAGAACGCTCCTTTCTCAAGCACCGGAAGGATACTGACATAGAGGGAGCCTTATATGAAGCAGTGGGGGGGTGTGTGGAACTAGATAGTAAACATGTGGTTAATGATTTAAAGGTGAAGGAAGGAAGGTGTTGTACAATGGAAGAGATGCAATAAGGAGAGAAGAGTATAGATAATAATTAAAAAAAGGGGGGAAACATGAAAAATAAAAAAAATGAATAATAAAAACTGAAAAATAAAAAAATAATAAAAAGAAGAAATGAAGAGAGGAAATAAAAAGAAATAAGAAAAAGGGGAAGGGAGGGAAGAAAGCACAAAGTGGGAGTGAATGGGGAGGAATTAAATACAAGGCTGGAAATAGAAACCATCCATTAAAGAAAAAAAAGCATTAAAGAACCTCACTGATGATAATAACAACATCATCATTAAATCTACCGACAACGGTGGCGGAATAGTCCTACAAGATAGAATAGATTACATAGCCGAGGCAACCAGATTAATTTCTGACTCTGTCACCGACACTAAACTGAGTAAAGATCCCCTACCTGAGTTGAAAATAGAGGCCAACACTCTAGTTGACTCTAGATCTCAGGGCATTGCCACTAAAGTAGAAGCCTCCTTTCTACGAAGAACTTTCTGTAAAACACACACTACTTTTATCATCTTCCCAAAGTGCACAATAATCTAACTAACCCGCCTGGAAGACCTATAGTTGCATCCATAGATAGTAGCATGAGCTATTTTTCCCAGTACATAGATTATTTTCTACAGCCACTTGAACAAAGCCTTCAGTCCTATATCAGAGATGGAGCCCACCTTATACACCTACTCACCACGTTCGATTAGTATTCCACCTATAGTTGGGCTTCTCTAGATGTTTGTTCGCTTTATACATCTATCCCTCATCATTTGGGACTACAGGCCCTACAGTATTTTCTATCATCTGACCCTCTTATTAATCCCCGACAAGCTGACTTTATACATCAAGTCACCAACTTCTGCTTAACCCATAACTACTTCAATTTTAATGGAGACTTCTATTTAAACCACCAAGGAACTGCCATGGGCGCCAATTTTGCACCCTCCTATGCCAATCTGGCCATGGGTTACTGGGAGGACTTTTATATCTGGCATAACAATCCCTTTGCTGAACATCTCATATTTTTTGGCTGCTACATTGATGACATCATTGTCATTTGGGATGGACCCACACCCCTTATAGACGATTTTGCAGCCTATTGTAATAATATCCCTTTTGGCATCTCCTTTACATCAGAGAAACATTTCGATTGTCTTGCCGTCCTGGATCTAGAAATGAGTCATGAAAATGATAAAATTACAGACAAAAACTATATTAAACCCACAGCAGTTTTTACATTAAACACTACTTTTTACATTTTCAGAGCTGCCATTATCCCACATGGATTAACAACATACCCAAGAGTCAATTTTGGCGCCTCTGACAGAACTGCACAAAACAGTCTGATCTTAGTATGACCCTTAAAAACAAATTTAGAGAGAAAGGCTACCCAGAGCCACTGATAGAAGATGCTTACACTCTGTACCTACCTGGAAAAACCCAAACCAACAGACCTAGCACAGAGCCAGATCATGCTGTGAGATTCACCCCTAGGTACCACAGCAAACACAGTAAGATGAAAAGTGTCCTACAGAAACACTGTAACATCCTATTGGAGGATCCCCATTTGAAAGACATCATTCCTAGCAAACCTACAATCACCTACAGAAAAGCCCCCAACTTAAAAAACAAAATAGCTCCCAGTAAGTTAAAACCCATTCGACCTGCTCCAGGACCTTCGTTGTTCTCCACATCTATCATTGGCATGTATCAATGTCGTAAATCTCGATGTAAACCCTGCGCTTTTGTCCACCATGGTCAAAATGAGTTCAGCGCCAAAGGCAAATACTACAAGCTGGATGATTTTTTTCAACTGCTCCTTCAATTTTCTGGTGTACTGCCTTACGTGCCCATGTGGTCTGCTCTATGTGGGCTGTACCATTAGGACCCTTCGCTCCAGATTCAGTGAACATTGTCACCTTATTGAGGACAGTAAGGAAACACACAGTGTTCCCAGACACTTTAGAAGTACACAATAAATGTACCACAGGACTTCAAGTCTGGGTCATTGAATCCATATCCACTGATCTCCCAGAGGCGGAGCACTTCCATAAGCTCTGCCACAGGGAAACGCTTTGGATTCACACCCTCGATACACTGTCCCGTGCTGGCCTTAATGAGGAACTAGAGATAGCTA